AGGCCTACACCCCCACTGGCACGCTCACCTGCAAGGTTATCCTTCCTGACAATAGAAAACCTCCGAAGTTTTGCTTGTTGTTCCTGTTTCAGATTTGTTTCTTGTATTGCTAAGCACACAGGATTATAGGTATTGATTATAGCTTTGATGTCAAGCAAATTTCGGTGGAAACCGCGACAATTCCAAGAGATAAGGGTGGCCATTATGTCTCCTGTTTATTTTTTCAGTGCTGCTTTTTTTTCTTTCGAGGAAGGAGGTGTTTTGGGATTTCCATTCCTTCTTCTATTTCTATATTATCCAAGTTCGGGGTGTCAGATATTAAATCATCAATTGAACTACTGCTCAGATTTTGGTTTTTGTTAGCTGTTTTTTGTAGGCTTGTTTTTTGATTTTTCTGAATTACTATTTCTTTCTTCTGGATTGTGTGAAGTGGGTCTTTCTTGTTTTTGTTATTAATTTGAGGCTCTTGGCTTTTTGTTGATGAAACGAAAGATGTTTGTATGGCAACTGATCTTGTGGACTTAACAGCATTGGCAAAAGATAAATTTGGGCGCACTTGTGATCTTTCTACTATTTTCTGGGCTTCAGCATAAGACACATTTCGAGTAACTTTTGTCGCCTGAACTTCCTTTTCAGATTTCCATTTTGGACAAGAGCGAGAAAATGCTGGGTGATCACCCTTGCAGTTCACACACAATGGTGCAGCGGTGCAATTATCACTATCGTGGACCAACCAACGAGCATCTGGCGCACGTAAGGTTGCCACGACAGGACGTCTTAGAGTGACCAAACCGCTGGCATTGGAAGCATCACATTGGGTTGGGAATATATGGTCTAACGAGACAGTTAAGATACCCAGCCTTTATATTCTTCGGCAGATCAGGCGATTTGAAGGTCAGGATCACGTGTTTCATGTCAATCAACTGGCCTTCCTTTCGCATCTTGATCCGCCTAGCACTACAGACATTTTGGTCAGCTAACTCGGAGACAAACTCTTCTTCTGAAACACACAGAAGGTCGATCTCCGAGATCACACCTCTACAGGAATTAAGTGTTTTGTGTGCTGACACAGTTATAGCTACTTATCCAAGTTTGGTTTGACGTAAAAAGTGAAGCAGACTGGGTGGCCGAAACGGTATCAATAAGCAAGTCTCCAGAACGGAGACGCTTTATGTTTAATGGCTCACCTATGCATGAATGAATGTATTTGCTGACCACGAAAGGAGACATCTTTTGTAATTCTCCAGAGGCACTGGAAACAACAACAAAGTGCGGATAATCAGTAGATTCTTTGGCATTTGCATCGGTATGGATCTTCTTGGTAATGGATTTGCCAATAATTTCAACATCTTTGTTATTTTCATCAGTACGGATCTTCTTGTTAATAGATTTGTCAACAACTTCTATATCTTTGTTGGTGTCATTTGAATCAGGTTTTTTTAGAATGAAAAGAGAACCCATAATTGAAAAAGAAAAAATTCGGGTCCGACGGCCCCTCCCACCACGGAGCCCAACAAGGGAACACAGATTTCTGTGTTAGAGCTAGCCGGACCTATACGCAAACTGAAGCCCCACAGTCGGCTTTCCGGAAAGCAGGTACTCCTGAGCTTATCCCCAAGACACTGACCACAAGGACTAGTGACCAGCCGATTGACACCCGTGAAGACGACTAAGGTGCCTCCCGTTTAGCTGAAGCAGAGGCCAAAGCAGTGTGTTGGAGACAGTACCTCGCCCCTCAACTACCAGGACCCTCCTTTCCAGCGACACGGGTCTCCACGCACGGCAAACAGGTGGGCAGTTTTCTCGCCACTCGAAAACTAGACACAAGAGCTGTTCCAGTCTCTCGTGACGAGCCCCAAACTCCGAAGAGAGAAACCACAAGGGAGAAAGGAAGGGGAAAAGTTCCAGCCAAGAGGAGAGGAGACAGAAAAGAGGATAGATCACTGGGGCTCCAGGATCGTGTCACCCGTCTCACCAAGAAGATGATCCCCTGAAGGGCTAGGGTACCTCGGGATTGCCACACCCGTACTCACAAAAGTGAGCCCCCTGAGGGAGAAAATCCACATAGAACACAAGTGTAAAAATGAATAAAGTTCCGTTACATGTACCAGAATGCTTTGAAATATATCATACTGTGACAGATTACTAATTTTGTATTTGAGTTTTGTATAAATAACATTTTGTAATACTTGCATCTCCCACAATTATTGCATCAGACTGTAATTGCGTATTAAATATTCCACGTAATATTCACTTCTGGCCCGATCACCGTACATGGGCTATGCCTGTGAAAGTTAGGTTTGGCTCGACCATCGTACGCGAGCTATGCCCATCATTGTAGATTAAGGGGTTAATCAGTGGAAAGCACATGAGCATACCACCTTTCTAACTAAGTTTATAACTCTTTCATTCATTAATTTACTATCTACACCAGTAAAAAGAATGCTGCATTTTACATCAGTTCCCAAATAAGCTTAAAATGCACTTTTTATTTAAACATAATTTTTTTACTTAAATTAGACTTTACAATGATGTTGCTAAGACATAGTTAATGTACTAAATCAGCAGCAGAAAAAGCACTAATTTCATAGCTGATAAAATCTACTCTTAAGACATGAGTTTTTACTGTTTCAGAAAGAAATTCAATTTTTTTTTTTTTTTTAATTTAAAAAAGAAATATTCTGTGTAGTCTAGACTGTAAACAAAACTCTCCTCTGAATTTTATTTTCGCAGGTAAAAAAGTAGAGTTTAAAATAAAAATTGGATTTCAGAGTTATAGCGAGGATAAACAGCACTTATATACAATAATAATAAGAATGCTACTTTTAAAATACATAGTTTTTTCCCTCTATACCACAGATTCCAAATTTGAAATATAAAAAGTTTTTGTGCCACACAGAAATGCAACTTCAATAGGACTCTACACTGATAAATCTGATTTAAAGTCAAATACATAATTTGAATTATAAACTAGATAAAACATGATTTAAATGTGAAATATATTAAATAAAAATTTAGAATAAGAGATTAATTACTAAACTTTGGTTTGGGGCTAATTTTGTTCACATATTTCAGGGCATGAGAGCACTGATGAAGACTTGAATATGGATGAAAAATATGTAAATGCTTTTAAACCACAATGAAAGTAAAATTAATATGCATACAATCATGTAGATTATATTAGCAATGCTCTGATTATAAATTTACAGCAAAATATTAAATATGACTATTTACATGTTAATTGTTAAATTTTAATTCTTTAGAAATTCTCTATAATATATTCAGGTATTTAAATTGAATAAAAACAACTCTTAAACTCATTTGAGATGTAACAGAAGTTGCACAATTTATGTTTGATTAAGAGCTGACAATGGCATTGCTTTCATTTTTAAGCATCTGTCTTCAAAATTTTTGGTTCTCTTCAGTTAAAGAGTCATCACTTAGTACCAAATACAAATGTTGGCATAAAATATAATTAGACAGTGACTGTAACAATATGTACAACTTCTGAGAAAGAATGACAATATTATTAAACCTAGAATAAACGGAGTGGAAGAAGGTGAATACAAAAGCACAAAATATATTTTACCAAATTAATTTCAAATTATAAAAGAGATAAAGTTGCTGATTTCAGTAAGCTTTGCTGAAAACATTTGTGTCTACTCATATAACCTACAGCACATAAATACAGGAATCTAAACAGTGGCAGGGCAAAGACATTTATTTTGCCTTTTGCCTATAACCATTTCCTCAAAATGGATAAGTACTTGAAAGAAAAAAAAGCTGATAACCCAGGAGGGAAAATTACTGGATTGGTGATCATTTTTTCTGCTTATTTGCAATGGCGTTATTGCATAGCTCTTTCTGATGTGATATAAATAAGCTGCCACACTGGATACTTTGGCACACAATTAAGGTGGCTACCCCACTAACAGAAAGGAACCAAGTATTTTTCATAGCACTTCCTCAGACATTTAATTACTAATATTTCTTCTTGATTTACATTTGAAAAAAAAAAGACATCAGACAAATTAAAAACTGGAAAGTTTTGAAATTTACCAGGAGATTTGAAGATTTCATGAAAAATTGCAGGTCTCCTGTTATAACTAGGAGGACTGGCAGGTATGCTACATATTTATTACAGCAAAAGTACAAACAGGGATGCAAGCATTAAAATTTTACTGCCAGATAAAGCTGTAAGTATACTTTAAATGTTATGAGTATAATCTCAAACGTGAAAAATAAGCTGGCAAAATCTTAACATAGCATACATGGAAACACTTCCATTGTTCGGTTCAGATTACCAACAATGCTCACACACAAAAATAATAAGAAGTTCATTTTTAACAAAAATGATAGCTTTTACTTCTAAATGCTATTCAAATAATTAAATAGTAGTGAATTACAATATTTAATTACTCCGAGATTAGTTCTTCAAGTTCTTCTGATCTCAACTTCAATTTATTTTTGGTTAAAATATAAAATCCAAAAATGTTTTTGCTAATTTATGTGTGGTTTCATAAAAATTTTTATGACTTTTTTAATTATTATTAAATTTAATTAATTTATTAAATTTTTATTTCAAAACTTTTCTTCTTTCCATTCTCCAAGTCTTTTTGAAACCACTCATAAATTAGCAAAATGTTTCTTTGCAATTAGTAACCATTATTTAGTATTACTTCATTTTCAAATTTTTTTTAATTTAGACATCGGACTAAACTATATTTTCCTTTTATTTTGCAAGGTACTGGTTTTTATGTCTTGAATTTTTTAATTAAAATATGCTTTAAATGGATTATACATTTATCTCTAGTTTAAACACAAATTATTAAAGCTACATTTGAGCTTAGTATCTAATTTTTACTAAATTACATTCATATTTTTATTTTAGACTTAAATACAATATACATATACACACATTTCTATATAGAACACATTTAATCTATTTACAAAATTAAAATTTCTAGAACTTTATTTAAAGGAAACTAGAGATTATTTACCTTTTTAATTGGAAGTTTATTTTCCACAGTATCAGGAAGACAGTCATTATCAGCTATAGCTTCTAGTGTTTGTTCCGTTATGGTAGATTCATATCTACAAAAAAGAGTGTTTATTCATTTAATGTTCATACAAATGTACTTTTAAAAGCACTCCAATTTCAAAAAAGGGAAACAGTATGATATAAATTTAAATTTCCAGTTAACTTCATTAAAAAAAAAAAGTTTTGTTTCCCAAACTTTATATTCTTATTTTCTAGTCATTTACTAAACTGAACAAAGAACTGAGACGTAATGAGCCTGATGCAATAAGAATAGTTTATAACATACGTTCCCAACCATTTTTCGGCCCACTCTATCCCCTTTTCAGGAAAAAAAATAAATACTTATTACTCCTTTAAAAAAATATTGTTTTTGAAATCAATAATTTAACCCACAGTTTTCCAACATTTTAGAGTCAGAACCCACTTTTTTAAATCCTGATTCAATGATGCCCCTCTTAGATGTAGGAGACTATTGAAAAACAAAGACAGATTTTTTAAATTACTTTATCACACATAAAAGATTTTAACACAATGATGTGTTTCTCAAAGTTTGATTAACAAATATATATTATGAAAATATTTTTAGTGAGAGGACTGAGCTTGATGTACTGACACTAATTTTCATTATTTGTAGCATATTTGTCAACAGCAATCTTAAATCACTGTGTTCCACTCTTAATACTATTGACTTATACAAACATGTAAATACAGTCAAAAGTCGTTAATCCGGACTTCGGCGATTCCGGATTATCGATTTTTCCGGATTATAGATCATCAGTTTAAATCTGGTAAGATGGCATGCAGAAATTATAAAATTAAAAATATGAAACCGTAATTTATGAAATAAAGAACAATTATGATCTAAAGGATATCAAAATTTACAAAAAAAAAAAAAAAAAAAAAAAAAACTTAATATTTATTTGTTTACTTTATTAAACATTTCTTTCAATGTAAGTTGTTTAAGTTGCTTCGTTTTATGTGATAATACTTTCTCTAATTCTATAAAGAGACATAATTTCTTCTTCAGTTACAAAGTTCCACTGTTAAAGTCCTATAATTGCTGTGTCAAGAATATCGATTAATTTGTTAATCGAAATTTTTTCATTTTCAATAAACTCTGTATCACTTTCTTCTTTATCGGAAGCAAATTATGATGACGAGGAATTTGATTTAAATGATATCAAAGACGGAGTACATCGAGATGAAATACTACATTTAGTAAGGAATTATAAGCCAAATAAAATAAAAACGTCTGTCCTGAAGATAAGGATAGTGCTGACAGATTAACTTCCAATTCATTGCGCGCCGCGGCATTTCGGCGTTTTCCCCCCCAGGCCGCAGATCAGCATGAAATTGATAAACAGATTTCGGAATGGTTTGAGAAACGAAGGATATGCCTTTATCCATTTTTTGCAGCAATTCCACTTTTTGTTTAATGGACTTCTAAACATACTTTCGCTTTGTAGATCCTTTACATATTAGTAAATATATATCGGAAATTCTATTTGACATAATCGAAAGTTCAAGCTTACTTTTATAAAATTGCTCTAACAGTCTGCAAAAAATAATAAGCCGGATCCAATTCAAAGATTAAGGAACAACGCAATCTGCAACATTAACTGAATTAGATAATTTTAGCTTAGCTTATACTGTCCGTTATACATTAAACGCGCAAGCGTAAACGTATTACGCGCATGCGCACATACATATTCACAGCCGTAAAAGTCTTACGCCCGTAAAAGTCAACGCGTCTTACGCGTCAACGCGACACATGCGCAGAAAGTTTGTAGCTTTGAGGTCCGGATTATAGATCATTCCGGATTATGGGTGACCGAATTTACGACTTTTGACTGTATAAGCTTTACTGACCGAGCTGAAACATGCACACACATACACTGTGGTGTATATGAATGCTGCAAATTATTCACATACTATTCAAAAAAGTATAAAGAATTCTATTAGAACAGCTGAGACAGTCATGGTCTGTTTTCTACTCTTAAAACAGTGGTCTTACACTGGCAGCTTCCGAAGCAATTTTATGCAGTCTATGAATATACATTAGTTATGTATTTGTTAGTAATACCACACTTAGAGATTTAGATAATAACATAAATTCATTGCTGCACAGTGGTCTGCAATGTAGTGTTTATTAGAATACAAAAGCACTAGCAGTTATTGCATTCCAACTGAGGGCAAAGCTAGTGTTGGCACAGTCAAAAGTTCATATATACACTGGTGTGCAAAAATTAAGGACGAGACAGTTTTTTTCAATATAACTTTGTACAAAAGCTTTCCAAATCAACACATTTAATACCGTAAGATCCCCAATACTTAAGAACATGAGTAATGTAAGCAACACTTACTAAAAGAGAAATCAGAGGGATAAAAAGAAGCTTTATTGAAAAAGTAGCATGGAGCGCAATGCGACTGAAGGCCGAAACATCCCTGTGATGGGTGTCCAGCAAGAAACATCTGGTCTTTAATAGGGAATATGATCTTCCCTGACTGCTAGGCAGGTTTCACAGCGTCTGCCCATACTGAGAATGAGGGTGTCAATGAGTTGTTGAGGCATTGCTGCCCATTCGTGTTGCAGCGCCAATCAAAGCACCGGAATCGTTACTGGTGGTAAGGTATGAGCTGCCAAGCGTCTGCCTAGAAAATCCCATACATGCTCGATGGGATTGAGATCCGGAGATCGTGCCGGCCAATCCATACGTTCAATATCCTCACTCTCTAAGAGCTGTTCGGCAGCTACTGTGCGATGACATGGTGCATTGTCGTCCATGAAAAGGAACTGCGGACCCATAGCGCCTCTAAAAAGACGCACATATGGAAGAAGAATTCGTTACTATAACGGGTCCCGTTGACTGAACCTGCGTCGAAGATGTGAAGGTCTGTGCGACTACCAAGCATGATGCCTCCCCAAACGAGAACACCGCCACCTCCATACCTGTCCCTTTCAATGATGTTTGAGGGATGATTGCGGCTTCCCCGCTCTCTCCAGATGAGTATGCGATGAGAATTGCTACTCAGACTGAATCTGCTCTCATCTGTAAAGAGTACTCGTCCCCATTCATTGTCTCTCCAATTCCGGTGTTCCTGGCACCACAGAGAACGACTTCTTCGATGGGCAGGCGTTAGAGGTACACACCGTACAGGGCGTCGTGCAAACAGACCACCACCGTGCAGTCTTCTAGCCACAGTAAAACGCGATATCGGTCGTCCAGTCGCCTGTGTCGTGTGTCAAGCAATTTCTCCCGCTGTCTGCTGCCTGTAAGGCAATATACCGGTCATCTGCGGGTGTGATTCCTCGTGGACGACCACTACTAAACCCCCGGATAGCTGTTCCTGTAGTTTGAAATTGTCTCCAAAGTCGTGAAACAATGCTGTAAGCAATTCCGAACTCTGCAGCCACACTTGTCACACTGTGGCCTTCCTCCAACTTCCCAATGATTCGACCTCGGGTAAAAGCATCCAGATGTCATCTAACAGATTCATTATTTGTCATTTCTCACTGAGGCAGCAACTCGGTGTGATTTTAACTGCTATACGGCGTGCAATCTCTTTGCCAGAAATACTGATCTTACACCGACAACATGCTTTATACTACTCAGTCACTCCCCCATTACGTCTACCTGCATATCTGCCCATGTGCTACCGTACATCACCTTACTTAATCTCCTGATTGGTCTTTCTGTCCGCTCTGCCTCTTCGTTCAGCTGATATGCTAATTTTCGACTTCGTCTTTAATTTTTGCACACCAGTGTAATGCACATAATAGCACACCGGCATGTAAAAGCAGCTAAGGCTGAACATTAATCATTGCACTTCCAAAAATAACAATTTAAAATATAACATAAACAAAATTAGACATGCACAGATATGAACAGATAAAAAACTATCATTATTTATTCTCAAGTTAGCCTCAGTTAGAAAATTTTCACTGAAAGTTTGGAAAGTTTTCATAATTTGTTCATTTTTTGTTTATGTTAAAAGCAAATTATTTAGTGGTTAATTCAATATGTTAGAATTATATTTGAAGTAAATGTCAGTCCTAAAATTTAATATTTAGCTGTTAGTATGTCTGAATTACAAAACGTAACCAACAGAAATTTTTTACAGGTATTTTCTTAGAGATAAAACATAACTACTGCCGCCCAACCCGTATAGAGGTTGGCATCGCTGACTGCTGTGCCTAAGGGCCCGAATTTGAATCCTAGAGAAGACATGGTTTTTTGTAAATGTATAGTGTCTGTGTGGCATGGGGACACTCTAAATATGTGGCAAGCCGAAAGTTCTCTCGAGGGGTTGGTGATAGGGAAAGAGGGGTGGAAGACCCTTGGACCCCTGTGTCCCCCCCAGGTGCTCTCCATCAAAACTGAGGGTAGAACTGAGCTAAATCGTACTGTCACCTGTAAGGTGCTCAAGGCTGTTGTCAACAACAGGCGTATCTTATGCTCCTTGCCACGAGGACTTCAGTGCGCCTAGGCTGACTATAGATCAAGACAAGTGAGCATTAGTCGTCAAAAACAACATAAATACTATGAATTTGAATCCTTTCCTCTGTTTTATTACTATTTTCATTTATGTACATTTTAATAAGTATTTAGTAAGTGAAATTTAAACTTACTGATTTAAAATACTACTAAAACTTACTGATTTAAAATGCTACTAAACTTACTGATTTAAAATACTACTAAAATGCTATAAATATTAAGTTGTATTAAACATTGTATTTTTTTTAAATAATAAAAAAGTGTGATTACTAATTTTGATGTTGGGCAGCCACTAGTCATTGGATAGGACAAGAGCCCACCTGATAAGAATTAATCTTGATAATTCATTCTAGCGATTTTATACTAAATATTACTTTAAATAAGCTATCTACTATCTAGCTTATAAAATGATCAGACGATCTATATGATTGCTACTTGATATTTAATATCTCTCTTAACTTGAAACGACAGTTACATTAATGCATATTCCTTCAGTTCATTAAAATGTCATTTATACTAAAACCTGCTGCCAGTATAACTTTTTTTCGTTATTTAAACAGTTTTGGTTAAAAAGTCAGTTATGCATTTTCTCTATTTTTGGGGGAACACTTTTATACAAGAAATTTATAAACTCAAAATTATTTCTCTCAATAATTTAGATATGGTTTCTTTTCATGTAAAATCATTACATACCAATAGACTATTAATCAGCTTTCCTTAGTCAACAGATATTGAAGAGTTACAAATGGAAAGCCAGTCAATCTACTTTCAAAAATCAATGTTTATTGACTTCTATATTACAAAGTTTTTCTAGACTCTAAATTCTATTAATTATGTGAATAAGATGTGACCAATCTAAGTTTTATGTTAGTTAGTATTTTTCATGACAACCTGCATAGAAAGGCTTATATTACATAATTTATTAATATCAAGAACATTTTTAAATTGACATTTTATTTTTACTTATGAACAAATGCAAACATCTTGCTGTTCAATTTGCATATGGTCCCTGAAAATGATCTCAAACTTTAAATACCTTGGTCTTTTTTTTTTACTATATAGTAGGGGTGGCCAACCTGCGGCTCTTTGAAGGATTACTTGTGGCTCTCGATAAATGTACCCCAGTTCCCTTTTCATTTTTGTGTTATAATATTTTTAAAAATTATTATCGTTCCATATGCATTTCAAAATGTCTTTTAAATTACAGACAACAAATTTGAAAGACTAAGTGCAACATTGTAACAAATTTAATTTCTGTCCATCGTCTCTTGATTTTTTTTTCTGAATCCATTTGAAATTAACATAATTCAAGGTGAGTTTTCCATTTCCAATATAATTATGACCCAAAAAGCATCTGGAGAATTAGGATTAATAGAGATGCAAGAAGATCAAGCTCTACAATTAAAATATAAATTGACGTTGATTACTAAATTTTGGAAATTTGTGCCAGAATTAAGTATCCTGAATTTAAAAAGGCTGCTTGTTGAATTATTTCAATATTCGGAACAACGTATTTATGCGAATCATTTTATTCCACTTTAAAATTTGTGATATCCAAACACTGATCAGTATTAACTAACCAGCATCTCAAAGAATTACTGAGAAGTGCTGTCACCAATTATTCACCAAATAATTTTACAGAATTATCAAGAGAAGTAAAATAAATGTGTTTAATTTTAATATTTAAATTCAATACATATATTTTGTATTTTTATTTATACGTTTTCAATAAATATAATTTCTGTAAAGAAAATTTTAATACCTTTTTTGCATACCTTTTAACTATGTGTTTAATTGTGGCTCGCAAAAAATTTCAAATTTTGAAAAATGGCTCGGACTATCAAGGAGCTTGCCCAACCCTGCTATAAAGGAATAATTTTTTTTTTTTTACTTTGTTTTTCATAACGAGTATAAGATTGCTCTAAATGTAGCAATAAAGACCAGAGGACAGCATTAAAAAGTTAGATTTTATAATTTTCACACAACTGTTTTTTTTTAAGTTAAATTTTAAAAAGCCAAAACATGAATATTTGCATCATTTAAAACAATTTTGTAATTAGAAGCATATATATCTACAACCAATGATTGTGAAAATAAAGGAAGGGATAAGGACATAAGGATTTTTGTGGACATGGTGTACATGCATTAATTACTATACCACTTCAATTTTTCGCCGGATCATCATTTATATCTAAAATTGTTTCAATAGCATTATAAAAACACATTTTATTTAGAAAATACTGATGATGAAAATGTTAATTCTAATATTCAATTCTATCTAAGGATACTTTTTTCTATCCATTTATAAAGATGAAAGATAAGGAAGGAGAAATTTGCTCTTAGCAGATCAAGAAAACCAAGTTAAGAGCACATTTTGAAAAATAATATAACTTATATGTAATAATAATAATAATAAAAAGAGACAATTTATTTGCGGGGGAGCAATAAAATATAAATTGAAAACAAACAAAAAAAAAAGTTATGGTATGGTGGCTTTTAGAATCTTTAGCTTTATAAGTGAGATTTTCATGAGCCACTGATGATGTATTTGCTGCATAATTATTGTGCAACAATAGACTATTCATGCATACAGATTTTTCATTGTTAAAATCAGTGTAGCATGAACTAAAATTTCATTAAAATCAAAAGCATCACACCTTTGCAGAATAAATCTCCAAAGGAACGATAGATACAACTTTTTTCAAAATTCATAGAATAATTAGGAAATAAAGTGAGGTGGGGAAACTACCGTAATTTCGCACGTTTAGTCCGCACCATCGTATAGTCCGCAGACACGATTTTATATAAAAAAAATTTAAAAATTGTCAGATAGTCCGCACCACCGGATAGTCCGCGGACTATACGTCCGAAATTACGTTTTTTTAATACGGCAATATTCCCATGCTTTTTAAACACATCCTTTTGCGCAAACTTCTCACCGCTTTCTTGTCCACTTCAAAATAACGGAGTAAAATCCTAGTATACGGTGCAGCCTTGGCGCGACTTTGAAAATTATCGCCAAACACCAAAATGATCCAAAGAACGTCTATATATATACTATACACGCATAGTATATATACTATATACTATGTTTAACTATATATTTTCTTTGAATGACCCGTTAACTACTAATCGTATATGTCCCGTTTTTACTGCTCATCATAAAGTCGCCAAAAGTAGTCAAATCCCGTGTGCACCGGATACTAGGATTAAACCAATAACGGCCCGCTTCTCTATTTCCATCTTTTTCAGTTTTCTCAACTAAGTACCTCTCAGCAGTAAAATCTCCGGCGATGTTTCATCAACGTTTAGCGAAGATGAAAGACAAAATACGAAAACAAAATAAAATACTGTGCAACTTGCTATCCTCGTGATAAGTGGTAATGAAATGTGACCTTCGACCCCACTCACTCGGTGTTGCCAAACTACGCTATAAGTAAACGAATCACGCTTTTTTTTCGTACTCCAGGTACTTTCTACTATGGCTCCTAAAAACCGAGCTGACGCATCAACTACTTTTCCCCCTCCCGGTAGTTGTGCTAAAGCAGTGCGAAGGACACTTGGAATATCGCGCTTTTTTTATATTTGATCATCGACAGTTCACGACAGCGTGTTTTTTAAATTTCAACAATTTTAACCGTGAACAACCAGCGTATTATCCGCACTGGTGGATAGTCCGCAGCTTCAAAAATTCGCATTTTAAACACAGTTAGTCCGCGGACTATACGCGCGAAATTACGGTAATACTTTTCACATACACTGAGGCAAAACGCTGTTTGCTATACATTATACACTATTTTGAACAGATATATTGTAAATTAATCAGCTACAGATATTTTTAGACTGATTTAATTTTTTTACCTATGAGGAAGTTCAACACCTAAAGCTAAACTGATATGAGTCAACAAAAGATTTGTAACATAACGAACAGCTCTTGGAAACCAATGTATACCATCAGGTGTTCTGCGGTGAATTTGCATCCTTAGGTGATAATGTACATCCAGGACATCAAATCCACTGGCTACTACAATCTAATAAATCCACAGAAAGATAACCAAATTCTAAACATTGAAAGCAGGAAAGTATCATAAAATATTAAAACACATATTTATTAATAAATTATTCTTTTAATAAAATATCCATCTAAACATTTCTGTATCATTAGCCACAATTAAGGTAAAAAATTATCAAATTCAACTTGATAAATAAGTAAATAAATAAATTCAATTCAATTCATTAATGCAGAGCATTAAGCACAAATTATTAGTAATTCCTGAAATTTATGTCATAATCCACTCTGCCTTGCGACACACATTTCGGCGAGTAAAAAAAAGCTTTCTTTGTTTTTTACATAACCATATATATTTATTAATAATTATTAATTTTTAATTGTTAATATATATGTATATTTACTTACTATTATTACATTAAACTGTTAAAAACAATGCACTGTACCTTCTCACCTTACTGTGCCTATAAATATTTAGGCACAGTAAGTCACTAAAGATAGTTTGCTTAATCTTGTTTTTTTAATTATTCTTCTGACTTTGTAATTAATAATAGCCACCAATAATAATTTTTGCCATCTCGCCCAAAGTTTTTTAAAATGGATTAATATGTTTTAACACTTTGCGGGCCGCTAATTTATCGAAGCGCCGTTATGCTGCCGCCGGTTCACGCAGGTTCTACTGCTCGCCAATGGTGATATTTACACAATTTTTTTAAACATAAGTGGTTGGTATATAATTATTATTAAAGAAAGCACTAAAATAACTGTTACACTATTTTTATTCCATTTTATTCCAATTATATTTTTTAATTAGTACTAAAATGTTTTATTTAAAAAATTTAACTCCTAGGATCCATAGTTCTTTTTAGTATGATAATTCTGAAAACATTTTCCAACATGCAGAGAAACGTTGCACGAAGAACACATGTATGTAGTGGAACTTTTTTTCTTTTCAGCAGTGCAGACTTTACAGACCCTTCGCGACTTATATATACTTATTTATACTCAGGCCCATTGCAGGTTTTGAATTCTCCCATTACCACTAATACATGTTATTCTATGTTTTCTCATGTTCGTAGTAAGTCTGCCTGGTGGATCAAACCTCGGCGATCTTTCATCACATTGAGCAGCCGATCTTGATTGTTGCTCCTCTTCATTCCCATTAATCCATGCTAGTGCAAGGTTTAGTAAAAATTGTTTGAATCTAATAGGATTTTCAGAATTTTTTATGTATATCTGGAACGCGTTGAGTAATGCACATTTTATGAGATATAAAACTTTTTTTTTTTTTGTCCATTTCTTTGTTTTGCGTATGGAATATATATTTTGAAGTATGGAATAACACGATAGGTATTGATCGGCGTGATCAACACCTTTCATAAATTTATTATACTCTTGTATGCAAATTGGTTTAATGCACTTCTTTTTGGTTCTTTTACTCACACATTTGACCATGTCTGCTGAAGTTATCGTAGAAATCATCATTATCAATTTTTTGGCCGAATTCCATTTTTGTACCATAATTTTCCCTTTTCTACAAAATTCCATTGACTTATTTTTCAGTGTAGCAGATTTTAAGCAATCGGCACTCCTCTGTTTACTCTAATTGTGCCACAGATGTTTGTTTTATGCTTTAGTAACTCCTCTGCAACCTTTACACTATTGTAATAGTTGTCCACATATACATTGTGCCATAAATTTAAATATGGCGATTGCATGGACAACATTGTTGCAATCAGCAATTTTCCTTGCACGCAATATATTTCTAAATTGCATATATAAACAGATGTCGCTTCACACACCATACGGACTAAAATTCCATATTTCATACTTTTCGCAGGATTATATGTACGAATAGATAGCCTGCCCCTCCATGGAATGATACCTTCATCCAACGATAATTCTTTCTCGGGTTTATAAATTTTTTTAAACTTTTCTACAAGGTACGAGTAAACTGGTTTTATTTTATCAAGCCTTTCTTGACAATGCTCATTATTACTGAAGTGCCAATACTTCTATAACTTCCGAAATTGGTTCCTTGGCATAGTATTCCCAAAAATAGGTGTATGTAATCCTGGGTGAGTAGACCAATAATCGTCTTGTTCTGGTTTTCTTACAATTCCCATTAGGATAACAAACCCCAAAAGTTTTTTCATTTCTACAACATTTGTATAAATCCAAGCTTTATTCTTTTTGATTCATTGTTATTATTATTTTGCTGATTATGATATAAGTTTGTGTGGCAAACAAATTAAATAAATCGTCCTCAATGAACAATTCCACAGTTGATAATATATCTGGTGTGTATGGTACCTGTAACACAAACCGTTCCAGGCAAGCATGAAAGTTAGGTTTAAAATCAACTTCTGACCAATCATTTGCCACAGAATTCTCTTCATTACTTTCGGATTCACTAATTATTGGTCTCCCTTATTTTTGAATCGTCTCACAATTATATCGCTCCCACTGTCTGAATCACTTTCACTATCAGAGCAATTATCCTCTTCTGATAACAGATCAGCATATATTTCCTCATCGAAGAGCATTTTGAAGGATATCTTTAAATCTAACGTAAGTTTCCGATATTTGAAGGCAGCGAAAGACAGTCTCAAACTAACAAAACAAGCGTGCACAAAAAAAAGATTTCAATAATAGACAGTCTGGTGAATTGGGAGAGGAAAACAGTTGAAACCAATGTTTCCTGATCGTCAAATGTTTTGCTATAGTATGTCTATCTATACAAACGTCGATGTGAAGCATCGTCGTTGGCGAAAATAAGTCACGCGTATGTGACAGCGGCCGATAACTGTTGCCGAGCAAAAGTCACGCCAGCGTGAGAACGGCCAATAACCGTTGGCGAGCAAAAGTCACGCCAGCATGACAGTGGCCCACAAAGTGTTAAGTTTAAATGCAAGAATTCCAATGAAACATTTATGTCAGAAAAAAAATTCTGCTGAAATGAAACTGCTTTCTAACCTAGAATTTTATGAACATAATGTTCTTATAACAGTACCAAATCACAAATTTTATGAACAAGGACAAAATAAATAAATAAATAACAAATAAGCAAACAAAAAAAATTTATAAAGTTGCACTTTATATACAAGGACATATCTGCACAATAAAATGGAAATCAGTATTATTGATAAAAGAAGCATTTGCCCTCATGCAAGCCACAGAGATAGGAGTCAGGAACCAAATACGAAACTAGAATAAAACATAATTTGAAACAGAATGCCAGAAAAGACCTGTATTCACAATACATATACCATCTTGATACGTATAGCAATTTCTTTCTATTTTTTACAGTCTAAAGAAATCATTAGAATTATTGGCATTTTATTATTACAGTACAAAGTTCAAGATACAGAATTGTCAGGACTTCAGTGGTTCCGAATATTCCCAGATTAGATAGTCAGTTTAAGTCTAATAAAATGACATGTAAAAATTAAAAATGTAAAATAATGAATATGACTTTTACAGAAGGAAAATTGGCACACACAGAAAAAAAAAGGAGGGGGAGAGAGATAGAGCTTAATAGATACTTTTCTGTTAACTGCCATTATTTAGCACAAAACATATTGGGTTTTAACGAAAGTTTCCTGAACCAAATCATCTGCACAAACAGCCCGTGTTGCCATGTTTAATTATATTTTGTCAACTGATTTTTGGCATTTGAAAGAAAAAGACTTGCTTTAGAACACTGTGTTGTGAAAAATTTGTAAAAAAATATCATTAAGTACATGGTCTCTGAAATGGAACTATCACACTACCAGATTAAAACCATCATTTACTTCCAGTTCTGTTGCAAAAAGTCTGCTACAGAATGTCACCAAATCATGTGTATAGCTTTAGGTACTAATGTTGTATCATATGACACTGTGTAGGTTTGGTACTGAAAGTTCAAAAACAAGGACTATGGCATTCAAGAAACACAGCGCTCTGCTTGTCGGCCTACTGATGTTGATGAGGCCCACTAACAAGAACTCATGGAAGAAGATCAGTAGGCAACCACTCGATATCTTGCTAAGGAGTTAGACGTTAGTGCCATGTCCATTAGTCATGCTATGCCTTACATAAACTTGATATACAAGTTCAATCGCTAAGTGCTGCATGAGCAGATGAGCTGACTCAAGCAGATAAGGATAGACGTGTCCAGGCCTGCACTAATCTGCTTAAATGTCAACGCAAAGACAAAATTCTGGACTGGATCATCACTTGTGATGAAAAGTTAATTTACTTCAACAACACAGGCTGAAAAGGAGGTTGGTCTGTGTCTGGTGAGCCCGCAAGCAGCGTCGCAAAGCTCAATTTGACTAATAAAAAGATCATGCTGGTGGGATTGCCATGTTATTATCCACAAAAAGAATATCTAGAAAAGGGTTAAACCCTCAAAGGTAAGGTGTACAGAAAGATGCTAGTCCCTTTTGATGCTGCTATCAAGGAAAAACGTCGAACTGAGTTGCAGAACAAAAAGGGAATGTTCTGTTCCAGCAAGATCACATGTGTCTGTATTCACCGGCTGGAATCTGTACAGACTGGAATGGTATCTTTTGCCTCACCCATCATCTATCCCAACATCATTCCTTCGGACTTCTGAATACAGACTGGAATGGTATCTTTTGCCTCACCCATCATCTATCCCAACATCATTCCTTCGGACTTCTGAATGCCATTGGAAGAATATGCCACTGGAAAAGAAGATTTTGAGGCCTATTTTACAAACAAAGCTACAGATGCCAATGAAGAAACAGTGAGTGAACAGACTGCTTAAAAGTGGATTAGCTGATTTTCTTCTGGAGATGACAGCCTTGAAGGCAAGCCTCGTGTTAATCATCCATCCACCCTTGTCAAAGTCCAACTGGAGGATGAAATCAAGCAGAATCCTCATCATGGGTGTGGACTATCTGACAAAACCATTTGATCACATCTTCATAACCTTACTTTGACATGGAAATTAAGCAAATGGGTACCTCATGTTTTGTCTGAGGAAAAAAAGCTCCTATGGTTGTTGAACATCTG